TAAATATTTTAAACTTTGTAAAAACCCTCAGAAACCTAACATTCACATAGATGTCTCTCAAGAAAGAAAAGTAGAAGGGGAAGAGGGTGGGAGGTGTGGGGCATAAAAAGAAGGAGTTTAGAGGGTAAGACTCCTAAAAGTTATAGAGGAGATACTTAAAAAACCACCAAAGGCTGGGAGGGAGCACAAGGAGTAGAACACTGATCACAGAACAGATGTACAGGGCTGTATACGGGAAATGAAAACACTATCCCGCTATGCTAAGGGAGAGAGGGGGAAATAATCAGATTTCACATCACAAGGAGAAAGAGCTACCCAAGACAAAGAATTAACATTTGATTATATATTTTTCTACACCATTTAAGCCACATTTAAATAAAACAAATACCATCCCATTTCAGTCTTACTGTGAGCAATTAGAATACTAAAGCCCTGTGAACTCGGTGCTAACACCAACTCAGAGCTGTTTCTTAACTTGATTTCAGAGTCTTTCTACCCAATGCATTCTATAATGAAACCGAATTTTATTAGAAAGGGTGGTGTCATTTACATTGTTTGGATTTGGAGGCACCCTGTCCTTTGGACATGGAATCAATGCCCTATAGCAGCAGCTGATGCTTTCAACTGCTTCCCACCCCTCCCCAAACTCCTTCTCCCACTGTCTCCCTGCACTCTGTGACGGGGGTAGCGAGGCGATTCAGTGTGTCTTGCAGCTTCAGAAACAGCTTCTGTCTGGAGTTATATAAGGAAGTTTTGCAAAGTGACATGCTATCACTAGAGATTTAGTCATTCCATGTGGGCTGGATTCAAACTGAGATCTCAGGAGCTCAAAAGACAGAGCGACACAGCCTCCATGGAAGCCTGTGTACGGCAAGCGTGCGAGAATAGAGCCTTGTAATGAGAGGAAGCACAGGTTTTATTAACAAACAGTATGGCAAACCACAATTTCTTTTAAGATCACTTCATACCTCCTTAGGAGAACTATAATTGGGGATGCCTTGATGTTTCGCTCTGTGACGAGTTAAGAATTATGCCTGAGTCACTGTACTAGCCTTCATTTAAACTTTAATGTGCATTTTGCATTGGGTATAAAAACACTATTGCATTTACAACCTATCCAACACAGAGTGGGTACTTACATGCAGAGAACAGAATGTCAACAATTGGGTTTTAAATTATTTTTCTCTCTACCTGCACAATTTTGTTCAAGACAAACTAATAAATCCCTTTATTTTGTTTATTTTCTGCTGCTTTCACCATATGAAGAGAGAGAAAAAAGTAACTTGTGAGGCTAGCAAGGAAAAGAAAAAAAAAGAAAATTAACAGAAGGAATTTCATTTTTTAGGTGGCTAACACAGAGGATTTATAAAATCCCAAAGGTATAACTGAGTTCAGTATAGCTCCCAAGTTGCAGACCTTTGCAATAACACCCTAAATTTTCCTACTGGTCTTCACAGCTATTTCAAAAAGAAAAGCCGATAAGTAGCAGCTTTGTTCTTTACATATAATTAATTTCAGAGTGAATTTAAAAATTAGAAATCTTTTTAAAACTATAATCTTACGTGTGCAAGAAAAAATGATCCTACTGCACTCTTTGCAAAAGCACAGGAGCAGGCATGCAGGTGTTGTTAAAGGGATGAGAAAATGAACCTTGTTCTTCTGAAAAACCTCAGAAATCAGCCTATACAAACCCTTGCAACAATACTGTCATCTGTTTAAATACTGGGACTATTGGGGAGGGGAGCTCAGCAGTGGTGGGAAGGCTTTCATGTGGTTACATGTTTATTTTGTTTAATTTTTTTGGTTAACTCTTTTACTCCATAGCTTTTAGATATTAATATCAGCTCTCTGAGAAGAGGGGAAAAATAAAGAATCCTTGTATCATAAATATCTACCTGCTTTTAAGAATTTGCTGTAATTGTCCTTAATCTGGTTATTTTAAAATTCTTTGTCATCACCATTTCTAAAACTAACAAATCCTTTCCTGCAGAGTTCAGTATATATTACTGATACATTACAGGGCACACATGTTCCACAAAGAAGATACCAGACAAATATGTGATGTCAAAATACTTGTGTTTCAAAATATATTTATTCAAAGACTTTACTGGTCTAAGCTCTCCCTATTAAATCCTTCAGAAATCTGATGTGTAAGTAAACTTGACTTTACTCAGCCCTTCTTTTCAGTGGCTACTAGAAAATAATAAAAAAAAATAGCAGTTCAAATACCTGCTTTGCTACAACAGTAAGCAAAAGTAGAGATTCATTTCAGAAAATATACTGAAACATTTGAGGAACTGACCATTAAAACAGGCTTCTTTCTAAATATTTATGAGTCATTTTATAACTGGAAGAAAGGTGTTCTGGAATACTGATCTCTAGCGTTACACCTACAGATCTACAGCACTCACAAATAAATAATAAATATTGATATGTATGTAGGTCTCTTTACCTCTACTGTATTTTCAGTGGGTGTACAATATCCAATATAATACATAAGCTATTTAAATACCTCACACCAAACTCAAAACACTGTGAAATACCATGTAATTTTTAAAATGTTTCAGCAAAGGTTTATACCAAAGCAGTGCTTTCACTTTCAATACCAGTGTATAAATGTACTTTCCCTATCAAAGATTTTGTGATGCAAACATGATTATTACTGTACCTGATTTGATCATGGTATTCTTGGAGAGATCAAATAATAGAGGTTTTTTCCACCCTTCTTTTTCTAGTGCCTTTTAAAAAAATTCCACTATCAAAGAATGTTAATTTCTAAGGTTTGATCTAGAGATTCCCATGTAAGTATACAATTATTAGGGAAAAAGAGGCACAACAGTGAATATTTTAAAGCAATGTAATCAATATTTTTGCTTTGTGTAGATTTCCCTGCAACAATGAACAAAAAGATCTACTTCAGATTTAGAAACTCAGCTTTAAAGGGAAAGCTAGACAACAAAAAGCAAGAAAGTACTCACCTCTTCACGTAATTTTATCAACTGCAACATGAACGCACAAAAAAGATAAAAAGGAAAGAAATGGCAGGAAAGAAAGATCAGTTGTGTGACAGGATACAGAATTAACATTGACAATTTATCTGTTTACATGTTTAGCATTTAAAAATCACAGACAAACACATTAAAAGAACCTAAACATAGACTACATGCAGAGTTTTTTGAACGAATAAAGATCACTTTCTCACACTGTCACATTAAACAAAGAGAATAGTGTGAAATTCTCTTTTAAACCACATCTAAGACACCATCATGAAATAAAGGGGAATGACTTCATAGAAGTCTATATTATAAAGAAAAAAACAAGTTTACTATTCCTCTCTTCGAAGATTGTACAGCTGAAGTGGTTTTGTATATACAAGTTTCCAGAATGTTTTCTGTATATTTTAGTTGTGACAACTGATTTCTTATTTTACTAGCAGATCTAACTTATTAATAGATGACTACATCTTTATAGCATGTATTTCAGTATTTCAATTTTTATATACTGAGTTCTACTGGAACTATATTATTTAATTTTATTATTGAACTTCATACTGAGGGTTTTTGCCAGGTAAAAAAAATGAAGCAGCTTAGTTAAATGGTTCAGAACTATGATTTATTGAATAGCATATTTAAAAATAGACAAAGGAATAGGGAACAACATGAAGCATATTTCCCTCAGAAAAGACCCATTCCAGGTTCTCAATCCAGACCATTATACAGTGTGTACATATATATATACACACACAGAGTGCGTGTGTATGCTTATATAGTATATAAATCTATATTTATTTATTTATGCTTGTAAATCAACATAATCTAACACTAACACTAACAATATTGCTCTGGTAGCTTTACTACAAAACCAAATAAAATCACAGCCTGATTATCAAGCTATGTTGTAATATACTCATCCCTTACAGAGATAGAAAAATTATTTGTACTGGAACAAAATGTATCATTACCCACAACAAATATCTGCACAAGAACGGCCCTTTATAAAAAATTACAGTTCTCTCACCGATTCCAGCTCGAAATTACAACAGCTACACAATTATCTGAGTTTATGCTGCTACTTCACTTACAGTTTCATAACACTGTAATTTTCAACACATGTGTAAGCTGAGAATGTTCACTACTAATAAAGTCTCACCAGCATGAAGGAAACAAAAGAACCTCCATTATTCTCTATTGTTTCATATGGCTCGTCTAAAACTGAAGTTTTGCCTCACCCCGTTACCAAAAGGGACAAGAGGCTCTAACGAGGTGTAATTAGGAGGGCTCCTAAACCACCCCAACTTGAACTGGGCCAGCTCTTCTGCACCGAGCCAAAGGAACTTTGCTAGAATTTGGTATAAAGAAAACTGCACTGCCGGCCAAATCAGCGCCTAAATTCAAGTGCTTGGCCTATCATAAATTGGTCTCTTTCTCCAGCTCTTCCCCCCCCTTTTTCCCCAAAAAGGCAAACATTAAGGCTCTTTAGAAAGAGACGATCTGGGAGTTGATCACACAGCTATCTTTTCTTTCTGAGGCCACCATTCTTCAGTTGACTATGATACTTAAAGGGCCAAAGTTTAAAACGACTCTCCCGCAATAGAGCCCGTCCAGGCATGCCACCCTGCTATAATCAATGAGAGTTTTAAAATGCTGCACATTTGTTTTTTCAATAGGTCCCAAACAAAAATGTTCTATCTTGTTTGTGCTGCATGGCTGAATTTAAGCTCTGCATGGGATTTGCAGCTAAGCTAAGTAATGGGAGAGGGTTGGGCTTTTTTTTAACATTGGCTGAAAGATATTCATTCAAATTAACAAAAGATGTATTTTTCCCCATTTAACAATGCTCTTGATGAAAATGTGTTACCTTTACATTCCTATTTTGAAACATTATTTTTATTATGCTCACTCCTGAACTGTAAACAGCATTAAGCCATGCGCAGCCACCATTTTAGGTTATGATAATCAGCATATTTTTGAAACAAAGATTTTTTTTTTATTTTTTTTTTT